TTATATATGTATGTGTATATATATAAATATACTTGTATATATGTATATGCATATATATTTGTATAAATGCATGTATATATATGTATATTTTTATTTGATATATATAGAAATATATATAATAGAAGTATTTATGTTTATATTTGTATTTGTATGTGCCTATGAATATATATATATATATATATATATATATATGTGTGATTTTTTTATATTTGTATATAGATATGAATATATATGTATATTTTTTTTTCTGTTTATTTATTTTATTTTAAATTTTAAAAAAAATCGATTTTTTTATTTTTTCGGAATTTTTTTTTAAAAATATGACGTGGCATGCTGATGTGGCAAAAAATCTATGTGGCGTGCCACGTCAGTCGCCACGTGGCGTGCCACGTCAGCGGTTAACGGACACTTAACACCGTTTTCGGATTGTGTAGGAAATTGCAGTTAAATTGGGTAGTTCGTGTATCAATTTGACACATTTGATAATTTGGTGTAGTTTTTTGTCAAATTAAAAATTCGTGTAGGAAAAGATCACATTTTGCAAAGTTGGTGTAGGAAAATGTCATTTTTCCTAAAGAAATCGATGTGTTTGTTTTAGAAATGTTATTGGATTTTCTTAAAAATATTATATTTTCATCTGGGGAAAAGGAAATAAAATAATAGAAAACGCTAGAAGGAGGGGTTGAACCTCCGACCTTGTGGTTAACAGCCACACGCTCTAACCGCAAAGTTGGTGTAGGAAAATGTCATTTTTCCTAAAGAAATCGATGTGTTTGTTTTAGAAATGTTATTGGATTTTCTTAAAAATATTATATTTTCATCTGGGGAAAAGGAAATAAAATAATAGAAAACGCTAGAAGGAGGGGTTGAACCTCCGACCTTGTGGTTAACAGCCACACGCTCTAACCAACTGAGCTATTCCAGCTTTGAAGAAGAGAATCGAATAATTAATTAAATCTGAGTTGAGTATCCAATGGGCCGAGTATGGGCCTTTGAGTATCCAATGGGCCGAGTATGGGCCTTTGTCCAACAGAGAACCCAGCGAATCAGCTAACGAAATCCCGTGAAATGCGAAGTTGATAGTTCGTCATCGATTTTAAACAGCTCGAATCAAAACAGAATGATATTTGTTTAAAATCGGTTTGAGAAAGGCATACTCAGTTTTGATCTGTTTCAGGAAGGCATATATATATATATATATATATAATATACACACACATATATGTATATATATGTGGGTTTGTTTGGATTAATTTACATCTCTGTGTGTTATAATCTTAAAAGTTGCCTTCTTTTTGTCAAGTTACAGTGTGCGTGTAACGAATTTGAAATTTTGTAATGGGAATGAATGACTATACTTTTCAACTTTATTGTTCTTTCTTTCTAATCACACACTTATCTCTAATGGATTGTTATTTTGCTCATCTTTTGCGCATGTTGTAAAAAGGTGTGGGACCCACATGAAGAGACAGCTCAAATTCCGATCTCGTTACGACGCCGTATGGGACAAAGGGCTTTTGTCCCACTCGCGGTCGTGGGTCCCACCTTTTTTTTTCTTTCCCGGATGTAATAATCCCAAAAGCAAAAGCAAAGTAAATAAAAAAAAAGTGAGAAAAAATAAATAAAATGAGATTCCAGCTAGTGGTTCTTCATCCTTTTTCCGTCTCTTTCTTACCATCCGATTCCTCTCGCTCATCGTCCCCTTTCCCACTCGTCCTCTTCTTCCGATTTGAGCTCGAGAAACCCTAGTCTCTCTCGTTCTCCCACTCTCCTTCTTGGGGAATTTTGGGTTTTATTGTTAATTTCGAGCTCCATCCTCACTCCGTTTCTCCTTCTTTATGAATCGTACGGCTGTGTTCCCCTAGTTCTGAAGCAAGCTAGGGTTTTTACCTGAACAGTTGAAATGCCATCGGATAAGAAGCCGGATTTGGTTATGGATGATCATGGAGTCGTCCAGTGTTCTTTTGCTGTGGAGTACGACGGTCCGCCATTGCCGTACGATCTCCCTCGTGCTGTTCCGATCAATGTCGAGAGAATCCCAGTAGCCGCTGTGGTCTCTCCTGTCTGTCTCGCCGACAACTTGTCCTTTCCGGTTGTTCAGCCGATTGTGTCTGGGGATCCTCTGAGCAAGAAGTTCCCCAGAGAGAGGATCCCTTCTTCGGTTTCTCCGACATCTGTGATCGGCAACTGCGGATCTAACGACATGGAACTGGTCTCCGAGTCCACCGTGTCGCCGACTTCGGTCATTGCTTTCGAGGAGAGGACCGAGGAAGGCGCGAACTGCGGATTGTCTGGTGAGTTGAGTTGCTCCAATTATGGCTCCGGCGAGTTGTCTGAATTGGTGAATCGTTCTAGGCAACTGGGATCTTGTTCGATTAATCATGAGCAGTCGAACACTCTTGAGTTCTCCGATAGTTTTGATAAGTCTAGAAATAGTTCGGTGAGGTTGAGGTTGCCGCATGGAAGGGAAGAGAGCTTAGATTTGAATGATTCGAACCCATTGCCTGATTGGGAGTCTAATGAATCTGTCTTGAGTATGGATTATCCGTCTTCGCGGGTTTCATCTATGAAGACAGGGGATTGCCTTAATGAAGCAAATGGCGATGGTAGGAGGCAACCGGTTGTTACTTTCCGTGATATCGCCTCTGATGATGCCTTCGTGGTTGAGGATTCTATTCAGGAGCAGACACGAGCAATGCCAGTTAAGAAGCAGCCACAGACAAAGGGAAAAAAGGGATCTTGTTATAGGTGTTTCAAGGGAAGCCGGTTTACAGAGAAGGAGGTGTGTCTTGTTTGTGATGCCAAGTATTGTAGCAACTGTGTGCTTCGTGCGATGGGTTCAATGCCCGAAGGGAGGAAATGTGTTACTTGCATTGGTTGTCCAATTGATGAACCGAAACGTGGAAGTTTGGGGAAATGTTCAAGGATGCTTAAGAGGTTGCTGAATGATTTGGAGGTCAAGCAGATAATGAAAGCCGAGAAGTTTTGTGAAGCAAATCAACTACCGGCCGAGTATGTTTATGTGAATGGACAACCTCTCCATCATGAAGAACTGGTTGCACTGCAGACTTGCCCCAATCCTCCCAAAAAGCTAAAACCAGGGAGTTATTGGTATGATAAAGTTTCCGGTCTTTGGGGAAAGGTGAAGATCCTGTCCTTTAGATGTGTATTCTCAGTTTTTTGGTATGTTATTCATTGTCCAGTAAATTGATTCTGTTTCATTTTACCGAGATTTTGCAGGAAGGAGAAAAGCCTTCTCAGATAATTAGTCCCCATCTGAATGTTGGAGGTCCTATTAGTCCAGATGCTAGCAACGGAAACACACAAGTTTTCATTAATGGTCGTGAGATTACAAAAGTTGAGCTCCGTATGCTGCAGGTTTAATTCTGTGAAACTACTTTTCTTGGTTGGGGACAAGTGGTTGATGTCTTCTTGCATCATGTGCAGATCAAGTTCCTGTCTCTTTGTTTTGCAGTTGGCAGGAGTTCAATGTGCAGGTAACCCCCACTTCTGGGTGAATGAGGATGGATCATATCAAGAAGAAGGGCAGAAGAATACAAAGGGATATATATGGGGCAAGGTTTGTTGTTCTATCGTGTTCTTGTTCTTGTTGTTTTCGCTATTTTCTTCTTTCTTGAAATGTCCTTTACATGGTGAGCTGCTTTCCAGGCTGGGACCAAGCTACTGTGTGCCGTCTTGTCACTTCCAGTACCTTCTAAATCTGCAACGAACCCTTCTGGTGAACAACTCTACAGCATGAATAGCAGAAGCATTCCTGACTATCTCGAGCACAGGACATTGCAAAAGATTCTTTTGGTTGGATATAAAGGATCTGGAACAAGCACAATATTCAAGCAGGTATGAGCTTCTTTTTGAATATTTTTTAGGTTGGCGATGGATATCTCTTGGAAAATTTACCAATCTCTTTGTTAGGGATGTATCTGATACACCATAGATTGGTCCCAAAACAGTTTAGCATTGCACTGTTTGTTTCAGGCAAAGATCCTTTACAAGGACATACCATTCTCAGAGGACGAGCGTGAAAATATAAAGGTGACTATCCAGACCAATGTGTATGGTTATCTCGGTGTGCTTCTTGAGGGTCGGGAGCGGTTCGAAGATGAGGCTCTTATTGACATGAGGGTAGAGCAGTCTGCCCATGGAAATGGTCCCGCAGATGAAGGTGTTGTAGAGATTTTGGCAACCTTCTTTTCTGATCAATACTGTTTGCATGTTTTAAGGTCACCAAGCATTGACCATTTATGCCTTAACCTCGTTTAAGATATTGTATGTACTATGTAAGTACATGTTTTGTGTCTGTAACAGGTGATGATGCTAAAAGCAATATCAAGACTTTGTATTCGATTGGTCCAAGGCTTAAAGCATTCTCTGACTGGCTATTGAAGACTATGGTTTCTGGAAAACTTGAGGCCATTTTCCCAGCAGCTACTCGTGAGTACGCCCCAGTGATTGAGGAGCTATGGCGGGATACTGCAGTCCAATCAACTTACAAGCGAAGAAGTGAGCTAGGACTCCTCCCCAGTGTTGCGAGCTACTTTTTGGAACGTGTAAGAAACTGCATAACTCCGCTCCGTTTGCTACTGTATATGATGATAATCTTTTAAGAAACTATTTTGCTGCTTTTCAGGCTATTGACATATTGAAAATGGACTATGAGCCTTCGGATTTGGATATTCTTTACGCTGAAGGAGTTACCTCATCCAGTGGTCTAGCTTGTGTCGATTTCTCGTTTCCCCAGTCGGTATCCGAGGAGAACCTCGACCCTTCTGATCAACATGATGCTCTGCTCAGGTGAGTGTGACTTCTCGTGTTTACACAGTTCAGCAAAGTCCTCGAAAGGCGATGGCTTTTTCGATTTTCTCGGGTGCTCACTGTCTGATAAATGGGTTTTCGGGTTTTTCAGGTACCAGCTCATCAGAGTACCCTCGAGGGGCCTCGGAGAAAACTGCAAGTGGATAGAGATGTTCGAGGACGTGGGGATGGTTGTGTTTGTCGTTGCACTGAGCGACTATGACCAATTCTCGGAAGACGGATCAAACAAGATGATACAAAGCAGGAAACTCTTCGAGAGCGTAATCACACATCCGGTCTTCGAGCACATGGACTTCCTCTTGATACTCAACAAATTCGACCAACTGGAAGAGAAGATAGAACGGGTTCCATTGACAAGGTGCGAGTGGTTCCAAGAGTTCCAGCCGGTGGTCAGCCGCCACCGAGCCAACGGCGGGAGGC